TATATAACTGCTGTGCGCAATCGACTGCCGGGTTTCGCCCACAAAATATACTGTCAATTCACTTTACAGTATATTCTGTGAAGCACTTTGAGACATCTCGAAGACGTGATAAGGCGCTATATCAAATGCAAGAATTATTATTATTAATTGTTTTTAACTAATTTGCATACAATAATATCTCTCAAGTGAAGTGAATAGCCAATTTTAGTTGAGGGATCCTTGGCCAATGGAAGAAACTCCTCTGTTGTTAAATATATGAAAGAGTTTTAAAAGCCTGAAAATTGTTACAGTCTTTTTATAATCGCTGGAAGGCAGCAGCAAAGGACATAGAGATGGAGTTTTTTTTAAAAACAAAAACAGTTTTTCTAAAAGACATTTTATTGCCTTTTAGAAAAAAATTGCTGTGCCAGTGAAGAAATGATCATTTAAGGACTACATATGAATGGGTTGATAAGGCAGACTTTCAGAATAGTGTTCAAATTTAGTACCACTCACTTAGCCTGTACCTTAGCCAGAAATAAATATCACACTCATTTAATTTTTGGCAGATGTGCACTTTTATTATTTTTGGGTCTTCTTGCAATAAATTGGCCATTAGGCATGAATCTAACTAATCTAACCTTTATAATTATTTCAACATTTTGAACAAGGTTTCAATTCCCCTATATTAGTCTTTCGCTCAGTGTGGGGGAAAAACACATGAACTCGTGCACTGCTGATCATCTATTGTTTCTAACAGGTCTGACACTGCACACTGTGCATTGTTCCTCCTCTTTTACAGCGCCTTCGTCCACCCTCCTTCCCCTACACTCCCATCCCTCCTGATCCCAACCCACTCCTTGGGTCCAAATCCTGACTGTCCAGCACCCTGAGACATCCTCCCAACCTGAAAGGCGCTATACAAATGTAATTTTATATTGTATTGACAGAATGTCTGTCGGACATCAAGTCCTGGATGAGAACTAACTTTCTTCAGTTGAACGTCAACAAGACCGAGGCTTTCCTGATTGGCTCCCGTCAGTGCCTCCTCACCTCAGGCGCTGACAGCATCACCTTCCATGGTTCACACTCCACCTCACTAAGTCAGTCCGGAACCTTGAGGTCTTGTTTGACCCTCAACTATCCTTTCTACTAGACCTTGTTTGGTGCAATGAAGCAGGGCTGATCAGCAAACTGGAAATTAAGGCTCCTCTAGGGCAAAGCGATCATAATATGATGGAATTTAGCATTAAGTTAGAGAGAGAAGTAGTTAAGTCCGAAGCAAAAGTTTTAAATTTAAGTAGAGGCAATTTTGCTGGTATGAGAGAGGATTTAGCCAAAATAAACTGGGAAATTAGACTTAAGGATTTGACAGTAGACCAGCAATGGCAGACGTTTAAGGAGAGTGCAAAATTCCCAGCAAGCACGTATTCCTTTAAGGAATAAGAATGCCATGGGAAAGGTGGCCCAACCGTGGCTAACTAGAGCAGTTAGGGAAAGTATAAAGTTGAAGGAAGAAGCCTATAAAACAGCTAAGATGAGTAGTAAACCCGAGGATTGGGAGAACTTTAGGGATCAACATAGGAGAACCAAAAAAGTGAGTAAGAGGGAGAAAATGGAATATGAGGGCAAACTAGCGAAGAACATAAAGACAGACTGCAAGAGTTTTTATAAATATATAAAGAGGAAGAGGCTGTCGAAGGTAAATGTGGGTCCGCTACAAGCAGAGACGGGGGGAATTACAGTAGGGGACAAAGACATGGCAGAGTCATTAAACAAATATTTTGCTACTGTCTTCACCTTAGAAGACACTGAAAACCTACCAAGAATAGAAGGGAACCAAGAAGACAATGTTAGTGAGCAACTTGGGGGAATTAATATTAGTAAAGAAATGATTTTAGATAAATTGTCAGGTTTTAAAACTGATAAATCTCCTGGACCTGATGGCCTCCATCCTAGGGTTTTAAAAGAGGTGGCTACTGAGATAGTGGATGGCTTGTCTTTGATCTTCCAAAATTTTCTGAATTCTGGAACGGTTCCCATTGATTGGAAGATTGCAAACGTAACACCACTATTTAAGAAGGGTGGGAGAGAAAAGATGGGCAACTATAGACCAGTTAGTCTGACATCAGAGGTAGAGAAAATTCTTGAGTCCTTAATTAAATATGTTGTTATGGGATTCCTGGAAGACCATAACAAGATTAGGCAGAGTCAATGTGGCTTTACAAAAGTCATGCTTAACTAATCTTTTAGAGATTTTTGAAGATGTATCTAGCAGGTTAGATAGGGGGGACCAGTAGATGTAGTATATTTAGATTTTAAAAAGGCATTTGACAAGTGCCACATAAAAGGCTATTGCACAAGGTTAAGGCCCATGAGATTAATGGGAACATATTAGCATGGATTGAAGAGTGGTTAACGGGTAGAAAATAGAGAGTAGGGATAAACGGGTCATTCTTGAATTGGCAGGATGTGACTAGTGGAGTGCCACAAGGATCAGTGCTTGGGCCTCAGCTATTTACAATTTACATCAATGATCTAGACGAGGACATTGAATGTAACGTATCTAAATTCGCGGATGACACTAAACTAGGTGGGAGAGTAAGCTCTGAGGATGATGCAAAAAGATTGCAATGGGATATAGACAGGCTAGGGGAGTGGGCGAGTAGGTGGCAGATGGAATTTAATGTGGGGAAGTGTGAAGTTATTCACCTAGGTAGAAAAATAGAAAAACAGATTATTTTCTAGAGGGGGAGAGTGTTAGTGTTCAGAGGGATTTGGGTGTCCTTGTACACCAGTCTCAAAAAGTTAGTTTGCAGATGCAGCAAGCAACTAGGAAGGCGAACGGCGTGTTAGCATTCATTGCAAAAGGTTTAGAGTACAAGAATAGGGAAGTCTTGCTGCAACTGTATAGGGCTTTGGTGAGACCGCACCTAGAGTACTGTGTGCAGTTTTGATCTCCTTATTTAAAAAAGGACATACTTGCCCTAGTGGGGCTGCAGCGTAGATTCACTCGGTTAGTTCCTGGGATGAGGGGACTGACCTATGAGGATAGGCTGAATAAACTAGAGCTGTATTCTCTAGAGTACAGTGGAGCCCTATAGCTCAGTGGTTAGAGCACTCGCTTTGCAAGTGAGAGACCTGAGTTCAATTCCAGGCAGGGCGAAACCTTGGGCAAGTTTCCTTACTCCACACAGAGCCTAATAATAATCCCTCCAAAACCAAAAACAATAATAAATTGGTCATTTTCAATCTACGACTGTTTGTGGGACATTGCTGTGCGCAATTGGCTGCCGCGTTCGCCCACAAATATACAGTCAATTCACTTTACAGTGTGTTCTGTGAAGCGCTTTGGGACGTCCTCCCGACGTGGAGCCAGTCTTAAAATTAAGGGTTAGCTTTTTAGAACAGAGTTGAGGAAACATTTCTTCACTCAGAGGGTAGTGAATTTATGGAATTCACTACCGCAGAAGGCTGTAGATGCTCAATCCTTGAACATCTTTAAGGCTGAGACTGATAGATTTTTTAAAAATAGAGGGATTAGGGGATATGGGGAGAGGGCAGGTAATTAGAGTTAGGTCTGAAGATCAGCCATGATCTTATCGAATGGCGGGGCAGGCTCGAGGGGCCGAATGCTCCTAATTCTTATGTTCTACCCCATATCTGCGCCATGACCCGCTCTGCCTTCCCCCACCTCCGCAACATCGCCCGGCTCCGCCACTGTCTCACACCGCAGGCCGCTGAAATCCTCATACATGCTTTCATTACATCGAGGCTCAATTATGCAAACTCATTGCCTGCCTGCCTCCCCAACTCCCATGTCCTCTCCCACACTAGGCTCCGCGACCCTATCGCCCCCATCCTTGCCCAACTCCACTGGCTTCCCATCACACAGAGGATACAGATCAAGATCCTGGTCCTCACCTTCAAAGCCTTCCACGGTCTTGCTCTCCTCTACCTCTGCGACCTCCTAACCACCTACCATCCTGCTCGCTTCCTCCACTCAGTGTGCTCTGGCCTGCTTCACATCCCCCGCCTCGTTCACCCCACTATTGCTGGGCAGACCTACTACTCTGCCGCCACCCTTTGGAACTCCATCCTGCTGTCCCTCCGTCTCGCCCCTGCCTTGCCACCTTTAAGACCCATCTCAAGACCCTCCTCTTCGACTGTGCTTTGAATCTCCCCCTGCCCTCCACCCTCCCTGACCCCGACTCCCAGCTCGGGTCTGTAACTCTGTCTGTCCATCTCCTTGGAACGTCCTCCCAACTTGAAAAGAGCTTTACAAATGTAATTTTGTTGTTATATTATAAGGCAGTACTGTATAATGCCTTTCACGGGAAGATGTCCCAAGGTGCTGGACAATCAAGGATTTGGACCCGAGGGTAGGGCTAGGAGGGTGACTGAAGGCGGGGTCAAAGAGGAGAGTCTTGAGAAGTGCCTTGAAGGAGGCAAGGGAGGGAGCAAGACGAAGGGACTGTTGGTTGGAGTTCCAAAGGGTGGGGGCAGATAGGCTGAAGGCCAGACTACCGATGGTGGGGCGGGCCAGGTGGGGGAAGTGGATCAGGATGAAGCCTGCTGGGCGAGGGAGCAGACATCTTGATATGGAGTTAGCAGATCACAGAGGTAGGAAGGAGCAAGACCATGGAGGGCTTGTAAGGCGAGGACGAGGATTTTGAACTCTATCCTCTGGAGGAGGGGAAGCCAGTGGAGCTGGGCGAGGGTGGGGGTGACAGAATCATGGAGCCTGGTGTGGAAAGGACACGAACTGCAGAGTTCTGAATAATCTGTAGCTTGTGGAGGGAAGAGTTGGGAAGGCCGACAAGCAAGGAGATGGCGTTGAGCCTAGATGTAACAAATGTATGGATAAGGGACTCGGCAGTTTGAGGGGAAAGGCAGTGGCGGAGCCGGTCGATGTTGTGGAAGTGGAGGAAGGCAGAACAAGGCCATGGCAAGGACGTGGGAAATAATTAAATCAAAATCTTCTTTCCTCACTGGCACCAAATAGGTTATGAACTACTTACCACAAGCTGAACAACATCCCTTGGTTTGTGCTTCGCAGACTTGAATGAAGCCAGTTGCGTTACAACAACAATCTGATATTCAACATGACCAGACATCATTTTACCATGGATCTCCTGGTACTCTGGGACTGACAGGTCTATTCCAGTGTTCAGATTCTGGATCGCTCTACATTAAATTAAAAGATTCAGCCATGAAATCAAACATTCAGAGGCGTGATTAACCTTGTTTTTAAAAAAAACACCCCCAGTTATATTTTTAAACATCCAAAGGCACCAACTAGTCAGCAGCAGTTTACAGAGTATGTGAATAATACAACCATGTGCCAGAAACTTGTAAGCACAATTCAACCTTGTATTTATATAGCGCCCCTCACGCAGGGTAGCATCTCGGAGCGCTCGACAGTGGTGGAGCATGGCCCCGAGCCAGAGGGAGGTGAGGGAAGCACGGTCGAAGAGGAAGGTCTTCAGGCATGACCTGAAGATGGGGAAGGGGCAAAGCAGAGAGAGAGAAAGTGTGTTCCAGAGTTGCGGGGCACAGTGGCCGATCGTGGAACAGAGGACACAAGAGACAAGCAGAAGGCCAGAGCCGGTCGAGCGGAGGTAGCAGGTAGTGGGGAGGTCAGAGAGGTAAGGAAGTGCCAAGGCATGAAGGGATTTGAGAATAGTCAGTGATAGAAAGTCAGTGGAACCTGTCGATCTGTGTAGAAGGACACTATGGGGTCAACTTCCATATGTATGCGGATGACACCCAACTCTATCTTTCTGCCTCCAGCCTCAACTTCAGGACCACTGTTGTCCTGACAGACTGCTGTCGGACATCAAGTCCTGGATGAGGGCAAATTTCCTACAGTTGAATGTGAACAAGACTGAGGCCCTCCTGATTGGCTCACACCAGCGCCTCTGCACCTCAGGCTCTGGCAGCATCAACCTCCATGGTTGCACACTACAACTCACCAAACCAGTCAGGAACCTCGGTGTCTTGTTCGACCCTCAACTGTCTTTTCTCCCCCACATTCAAGCCATGACCCGCTCTGCCTTCCCTCACCTCCATAACATTGCCCGACTCCACCACTACCTCACCCCTCAGGCCGCTGAAGCTCTTGTTCATGCCTTCATCACCTCCAGGCTCGACTATGCAAACTCACTGCTTGTCGGCCTTCCCAACTCCTCCCTCCACAGCTGATAATCCAGAACTCTGCAGCCCGTGTCC